CGGAAAGCCCGGGCAGCAAAACCCTGTCAGCGCTGCCTCCTGCCAGGACAGCAGAGAAGGGGCAGGAGTTTGCAGGATCTATTGTTTCCACATACTTTTATTATTTATTTACACAGGGAGGCAGAGTGTTTTTCCATGTCACTGTGTGGTAGCGTGGTGCTCGCTCAAGGTGACGATCCCCTCGGTCACTCTTACCTGGGGGTTCTCGGTCAGCGGAGCATTCTGCAGTGGCCTCAGATCAAAGGGCTTCTGCTCCCCGCAGCGTTTTGGAGGCCTAGCTGGTAACACCATTTGACACGCAGCATCATTTAAAGAGTGTTAGACTTTTTTTTTTTTCCAAGTAATGACATTGCAGCACATTCACAAGCAAAATGTGTAAGTCTTCCAAGCCGTAATACCAGGCTACATGGAGTTATTCTCTTCGCAGGTTTTTATTACTGCATCTTGAGGCAGTTTAGCCGAAACTCCCTCCTTTTATAACGTATCATTTGAGCGTGATATTTGCTCATCTCATGTAAAGGCAGAAGTTTAAGGGTTGGTTATGAACACTGCTCACTGCTGGGTGTCGCTATAGTTGATGTGGCTCCTCCGGGGGTCTGATTCCTCTTGCTTGCCTTAGACCTCAGCGGTAGACAAGGTGCGTGTTCTGTCTTTACATCGGGAACGGGTCGGATGAGTGAATCCTGCTTGCATTTCACAGGATGAAAGGCATGGCACAGAGACTAAGCCAGGACTGGAGAACGTTCCTCTGGCCCAGCATGTACATACATTCTGGCCATATCCTGCTGCAGGGACCTTGGGGCGTGTGGGCTGGAAGGGAGCCAAGTCTCACCTGGGCAGCTAGGACTGTTGAGTGCATGAAAGCACATACCAGTCCCACCATCTAAAGCTAAGGAAAGAGACCAGAGTTAACTGTCTCCCAGCTATCAGGTTGCACTCAACAGTAATGAAAGTGGCTCAGGCCCCTTGGAAAAACTACTGGTTTGTACACTTTCCTGTTGTTGCTTTCTCTGTAACATCTTTAGCCTCCTTCTATACTCTTCTTGCCAACTGGGCTGGAGTACTGTCTTATTCCGAGTTCCTTTGGGCTCCCTGGGTATCATGAAGGAGCTGAAAACCGGCTGTGTCTACAAGGTGCAAATTGCAGAAGTGCTTGGCAAGGTCATAGCTGAGAGAGAACAGCTGTGTGGGTCCCTGCGCCCTCCTCACAGCCCGAGCGCGGGCAACACGGGCTGTACTCCAGCAGTGCTAAGCTGGCACCAGGTGCCTAAGTGGCTGCAGCCAGATGGTGAAAAACTGTGGCAGCTCTGAGAGAGAGATGTGAACTAGAATGCAATGGTGTAGATTCCTCCTACAGGCACGCTGAGTTGCGCCTGTCCAGGGTCATAAGAAAAATGGTTTGTGTTGGAAGGGACCTTTAAAGGTCATCCAGTCCACCCCCCCCTGCCATGGGCAGGGACATCTTCCACTACACCAGGTTGCTCAAAGCCTTATCCAACCTGGCCTTGAACAATTCCAGGGATGGGGCATCCACATCCTCTCTGGGCAACGCGCTCCAGTGTCTCACCACCCTCATCATAAAGAATTTCTTCCTTATGTCCAATCTAAATCTACGCTCTTTCAGTTTAAAACTGTTGCCCCTTGTCCTGTCACTACTGGCCTTGGTAAAACATCTCTCTCCATCTTTCTTATAAGCCCCCCTTATATATTGAAAGGCTGCAATAAGATCTTCTCCAGGCTGAGTGACCCCAAACAGCAAGAATTCCAACTACTGCATTCTTGGCAGCATCAGCAATCTCATATTTTTCCTCCCTGTCACAGGACTGGAAAACCTTTCCAAAGACTGTGAGTTCCTTCACCGGAAAGGAGATAGAGGGAATCTTAACCTCTATGAATTACTGCTTTTAAATGGCCTGTAAATCTGCTTTGCAGCACATCAAAGAAAATCCTTTGCTCTGATGCTCTCATGATATCTGTACCTGGCCTGGAGTCCTGTTCCTGAACTCTTGAAAGCCACAGGATGTCACAAGACACATTGTCCGAACACTGCAGGTGCCCTTTCAGTCTCCAGCTCATCTGCAGCTGTAGTAGTCTTCCCTCTGTAAGGAAAGAAAGGGAGAGCCTGCCATTATGCTCCGCTGCCTGTGGCCACACCAGGGATTATGTCCAATTCGTGTCTCTGCCAATTTCATGATCAAGCAGTTACTTTTTAGCTGTAGCATTCTTTACAAGGTGTAGTCAACCTGGAACAGTTAGGGAACTGAAGGCCAAATTCTATTAATGCTTGTGGATACAGAAGGATACTACAAGAACCAGAAAGGCTCTTGGCCTGTATGAGATAGGTACTTTGGTTAAGGCCAGGGGGACCTACTGCTGGAGGGATTTAGTGAAACTATATTTTTAAATAAGCAAAAAATAAGTACCTGTGTGGAGACAATGTTCTCCAGGAGAGGCTCTGTTCAATTCACTGCTCTGAACTGGGCAGGAGGATTTGAATCTAGTTCTTCCACACCTTAAAGGAGTGTCTTGTCCACCATGCTAAAAACAAGAGAGAGAGAGTCCTCTAAAGAAGATGAATAAGAAGGAAATTCTCCCTGTCAAACAAGAGAACATTGTCTTTTTTCCCCTGAGTACTTAGTAAGAACCTTATCTCAGCAAGCCCTAAGGGTTTATTTAGCAGCCAGTGTTAGTGTGTAGGTAGCCTCTTGTTCCTCCATCACCCTTAGACTTTTAAACATGGATTTCTTGCCTTCTGGTTTCTGCTAGGAGTATCATGACCGTACAGAAGCTTGTATCTTGGATCTTCTGGAAGTCTTAGAGCACTGAGGAGATGATATTACCTATGTGTTTGCAGAGATGAGTGTCTTTAAAAAGGAGGTGTTTAGTTCTGCAATGTGTCATAAGTTGTTTATCATTATTTGAATGAATTGCAAATTAACCTACCTTGCTTCAGAAGGGTTTTGTTTGGGCATCTCCATGTTTATTGTGGCAACTGTTTTATATTAATTTTGTTTCTTCACTAACAAAGCTTCTCTTGTTACATCTAAGCGTAATAAAGAAAATAGCCCAGTACATAGGAGAAGTTATGGAGGACTCAAAAGATAAAGTCCAGGAAAATCTTCTGGCCAATGGAGGTAGGTGCTGTGAATGTGGATATTTTAATGCATTGATGCTGCCTGTGTTTGCTTCAAAGTATGAACATGCAGAATTGAAATACTCACATATGAGAAAGGACAACCATCAGCAACATTTTTTAAGAACATATCTAGGTGTCGTGGGTTAGGCCGACCCCCCCACACATCCGGTCACTCCCCCTCCCCCACCTCCAGGAATGAGGGAGAGAATTAAAGGATAAACGGGAAACCCGTGGGTTGAGATAAGAACAATTTAATACAGATGATTTAATACACAGTGTAGCTGCTCACCACCCCCTCGTATGCGAAACCCGTCTCATCCCGAAGCTGCAATCCTGGATGAATGCGAGGCCCCGAAATAGAGAGGGGCAGAGAGAGAGAGATAGTACTCCGAGAGTGGGAGTACTGGGAGAGAGAGGGGAAAAAAAAGGGCAATAGAGCAAAAGCGCAGCAAGCGCAAAAGAGCAAAAGCGCAAAAGCCCTTCTTCCCGGCTGACCCTCACTTTTATACTGGGCATGACGCTGCATGATATGCAATACTAATTGGCTAGTTTGGCCCTCAATCTTAAGTTCCACCACAAATCACAAGGGGAATCGTGTCCCCCTTGTCCCAGCTATGCTCCCCCCTTATCCTGCCGTGTTTCTGCACTCCAGCACACTGAAAAGTCCTTGGAGTCTCAAACATCAACTTGCTATCAGCATTCTTCTCAGAGCGAGCCTCTGAGTAAAACCAAAACATGGAGCTCTTCTAGCTGTTAAAAAAGAAGAGCTAACTCTGTCCCAGCTAAAACTAGGACACTAGGCTGCTCCCATTTTTCCCAAAGTTAGCAGAAGCTTTATCCAGCACCAACTTTGCTTCCAGGAGAGTGTTCAGTGTCTAATACTGAACTGGTTTCTAACACTGAACTAGTTTCTAACGCCAGAGCTGAGAAGCGAAGAGGAAAGCAAGGGACATCCTTCTTCACTCCTAAAATGACCTAGCAACTTTCTGTGCCCTGTATGGGCTTGATTAATTCCAGGTGGCTAAATCTCATTCTGTATGGCTGCATGACATCTGCCAGTGATCTGTTAGTGATTTGCCTTCCCTCCCACAGTGCTGGGATAGATCATGTTTTTAACTGTGGATTTCTGACATCACAGATGGACGTGTGAAGCAACAGCTCCAAAAGATAGAGCTGAGGCAGGAGAAGAGCAGGCAGTGACAGAAGGGATGCTTCCGACATGCCAGAGGGCTGTGGGAGCCCACTGCCTTACTGCGTGCTCCCCTGCACCATCTCTAAGTGGTCCATGTGGTGTTTCTACAACCTCCATGAACTAACTTCCCCCCTTTATTATCGAGTGTGGTACTCACAGCTCTAAAGGGAGCCTGTGTCAAGGACAAAATGAACATTTAGGAACTGATGGCTCCTAGATGTCTGCATGTTTTTTTAGACCCTGAGTGTGTCTCAGGGCAAATTTCTCCCCAGCTATCCTGGAAAAGTTCAGTGAAGCTGGATGTGTTACACATGCTACTCACAGGCTTGTCAAGTGACACTATTAACTGTCAGACGAATTAACAGTGCACACTCCATCACCCTTTGACTGTCTGCAGTGTTGTACTTCAGATCTGTATGAGTAAAGGATGAGGAGGAAGTTCTTTTAGAAATGTCCTTCTTGCATGAAATAAGACTGACATTTGATGAGTGCAACTGCTTGATGAGTACAATAATCCCATTTATTGTGTTTCAGGGACAAAGGATAAAATGAAATGTCTAAAAAGTATGTTGAGGATTGATGATTGTGGTGATGTTACAAGCATGCATTTTTGTGAATTAGTGCTAGAGACAAGTCGTGGTCTGGTTGTAGAGATACAGTGATCAGGTTACGATGGATTTCTCAAGTAACAACCTCGTAGCTTGATCACGATATCCCTATGACTTGAGAAACAACAGGTTTCACTTATTTCCTTTGTTTCCTCTTTTTACACCATTTTCCTTTCCTATCAGCTCTGCATGTGTTGTAATAGAAGAAAGTGGAAATTACTTGTATGTGTTAATATTTTCTGTCTCTTGGATTTGGTCATTCAAACAAATCATATTAACCTAAGACATTAACCTAAAATTGAATCAGCTTTATTATATGAGGGTTCTCCTAATACATTCCAGTGTCATCGTTCATAAGCAGCAGCAACTTCTCCATACAAATTTTTCCTCCTCCCCTTCCTGGTCAGCAAAAGGACCTTAGAGTTGAAGACTCTCCTGGATAGGCAGCTATGTGAGGTCTTTTAGAAGTGACTTGGCAGGTTCCATAAATGAGGGGTGCCGTTCCAGGAGCATCAGGGTGCTTGGGCTGCTTGGCATTTTAAGCTCAGTTCTGTTAACATGTTCACAGCAGTTTGTGCCATCCCCAGGATCAGGTTGCTTAACTAAACCGCACCAGTGCCAGAGCACTGCTCAGGAGGCAACTTGTAAAACGGACTGAGAACTCATGTTGTGCTTAACTGCCTAATGTTGGAATTCTGCTGAGATTTAAGGAACATGAGGATAGAAAGGGCATGTGTAGGTCTTCAGGGAACTTTTGTATCTCCTCAGCTATATATAGGTCAGCAGCTGTCTTTGAAGAGCCTGTGAATACACTGTTCTTCTGCACAGCCCAGTAATACCACGCTCTTTGCAGGTTTCATTCCTGTTGAATTTAGCAAAACCTAAGCAAGAAAGCTTGGAAGAGAGGCAGCAAGATGAAACCCTTGTGTCGCATACCCCGTGCTGGAAATGCTTCATGAATTTTATTGCTCAATTATTTTTGACCTCCCTACCTTCCCTCCAGAGACCATGAGCGAGCACCACTGGAGGACCACGCACACGGGAGCTGTGTGATAGCTTTCCCTGCCTTCTGCAGCCTTGCCCCCTTCCCATACTCTCCCTGTGCAGGAGAGTTTGTTGATTCCCAATCACACCTTGGCAGGAGTTGGATCTCTGCCTTGTGACTCCTGTCCATGGGATGTGTGGGAGGTTTACAGGGCTGTGGTTTTAGAAAGAGGGGGAGAACACTGTCATACTTCCGCCTCCAAGGCAGTTTATCCTTTGCTAAGAAGCCTGTTTCCTCCTAACAAGACTTTCCATGCATTGGAAATCTAATAGGGTAAACTGACTCTGTTGTGGGGTGAGAGAAGCCCATGGAAAGGATAGCACCGTCCTGCCAAGGGTGTTGGGTATCACACGAGACAGGGTAGTACCCTCAGCCTGGCAGTACGGCAGTTACACAACTTTTGACATTCCTTCTCATGCATCTCAGTTCATAAAGTTTTCCCCACACCCTGGAAGTCCAGGCCACAAGAAATTGTAGCCAAACCTCACTGGGGAACTGAAGTAACTCTGGACAAGGCAGTGAAGAGCACTGAGCAGCCCCAGCACACCTCTCCTTTTACTTAGCACCTTGAGCTTGTTTTGCTCCCCATCTCCCCAGAGCAACTTCTCAGATGTTCTCCATGTTTACCCTTCTAGTCTGGAGGGAAGCCCACCCTGCAGGTGACAGTACCTCTGGCTTTTTGGTCTAGACATTGAGACCCTGCCTGCTTCCTTCCCTGAGCTTCCCTAATCTGCAAGGGAACAGTCGCAGCACCTCTGCTTTTTGTGAGTTTATCCCATTCCATAAAGTTGCCCAAGAACACAATGTAGAGGTATGCTTGGCTTCCTAAGGGCTCTCAGGACTCAGCTTAGGCAAAGAGCTGTCTGATTTCATGAGCTGCTAGAGGAGAATTTTGATTTAGTACAATAACGTATCAAGCCTTAGTGTTTTCTGAAGTTAAGGAGCTTTGGTCTTCAAACAAAGTGGAATAGCATGATCTTGTTCTAGGAGACGGGTGTCATATGCATCATCTCCCCTTGGTTCTGGGAAGAAGCCGTGGTTCCCTGTGGTCCAAAGGTGCCTTGTTTTGGGGTCTGCATGCACACTAGGCCTTGCTGTGAATTTCTGTTACTGAGTGCTGTGACTGGATTTATCCATTTAGAGAAACACCACATGGCTTTGTGTGAGATGGGGAGCTCCGTGAGTGAAAGCAATGAGGAATTCCCCATCGCACCTGAATTGGTTTGATTTCCAGCAAGCGCTTGACTGAGTCACAGAGAAGTAACATCGGTACCCTCTTCATCAAACCCTCAACAACCCTGAGCATTACTGCTGGTCGTGGCCACAAAGTATTATTCTGGTAGCTCTTGCCTGGATTAAATTCAGGCATATTGCAGTAATCAAGATTGAGGTTACGTGAAGCTGTTTCTACTGTGAAGAAGAACAGCTGCACATTACTCTGTCCTGCTGATACAGCTAATTTTACAGTAAAGCTTGTTCTATACTGCTAGGTGTAACGCAGAGAAGATCAGCTTCAGCTGAAGGTTCAGCTTCTAAGTTTGGGGTTGTTTAGAAAGGTGATAAGATTGGGCATATGATTTGTGCAGAGTTGATCTAGATCAAAATTCTGTGAAGATTTCTGTGAGGTGGGCTTCTGGTTCACAGCCAGCTCTGATGTTAATTACCTAGGCTATAGCTGAGGACTGCTACCCAAACTGTGACCTGCCAGCTGCTAAGCTGTCTGCTTTAATGCATCTCTTTGCATTTTCAGTTGACCTAATTAGCTACCTGACACGGTTTGAGTGGGACATGGCCAAATATCCCATAAAGCAGCCGCTGAAGAATATAACAGAAGCATTAGCAAAGGTAAATTGTACTCCAAATTTCTGGAAGACGTCAGCATGGGGAAGCATGTTGTTTTGGCAGTTTTTGGTCCCTCCTGTCACGGCAGTCAGTGAGAGCTTTGCTTTTGGTTTGGGCAGGAACAGGCTCAGAAGCACACACTCTGTACTGAAACACTGATATTATTTTAATTTCTACTGTAATAATAACGATACATATATTTAAACTTATCCACTCTGTAAATACATGGCACTTTATCAGATTTACTAGAATATATTGACGTACTTTTTGCACTTTAATCTCCTTCCTTGTAATACTTTATTGGTTTTATATACTACCATATTATTCTCCATTTTCGGAGGTCTCTTGCTAAATCATTGGCCTGACATGAAATCGGACGCGTTGCAGGCTGGGTGAATTCTTTTCATTGTCAGCCCGCTCAGGAAGGCATGATGTATTGTTCAATATAGATAACAAATGAAACCGTGAACTTGCTCCTTAGGTACAGATATCATACACACAGCAGCACCTCACTGAATCCCACTTTCTGCAGAGGCCTTTGCCATAGGGAAGCTCTGACACCGGCTCCCTCTCGGACAAAATCAGGTGGTTTTACGAGGGGCTGCCAGCTGTGTCCTCACGTTAAGGTGCAGAGGTAGTGGGAGGGAGGTGAGGACAACACCTCAGGCACTGAGTTGACTCAATTTTTTTGCTTTATTTTAGCAAGTGACTCAAATAGAAACAGACCTAAAGACCCGATCAGCTGCATACAACAACATTAAAGGAAATTTGCAAAGCCTGGAGAAAAAAACTGTGTAAGTATAGTGCGTGCTCCCATCTGGAGCACTGCATGGCTGAACGGACGGCAGCGCGTGCCCACACCCATTGCTGTGCTGTGGGCCATGTGTGCTCTGGTGGGAACAAATTTTTCTGGCTTTGGGGCACGCTGAGCATCTACAGAGCCAGCGAAAGCCAGGAGCGGGGAGCAGCACGTCTAAGACTGAGCTCAGGGAGACTGCAGTTCCTAATAGGATTTTATTGGCAGTGCGAGCAGACAG